CCCACTGAGTCTCCCTGAGGCTCAGTGCGGTGTATTTATTCATATATTTGATTGTCTACTTGGTCTACAAATAATTCACCTCGTGTGAATTAATTGTAAACTAATTCTAACGCCACACTGATAGTGGTTTAAGAGGACTTTTACTACAGCGCTAGCGGCTTCTCTCTCGATCTTCTTCTTTTCAGCTCTACGCTTCTTAGAAGGGGTATTGTCTTTCTTGGTCATAATCTTAACTTATGACTGCTAGCTGATCTCTTAAGGACTAGCTTGGACAAGAAAGAAAAAATTGTGGTAGTTAATCTACCTTTACGCTTAAGTAGTCTAAGTAATTAATACCTTTGCTAACTTTAAAATGTGTAAGATTCGGTCTATCAAGGCGATATAAACCCTAATCGCGTAGGTAAAGTCTAAGTATCGTGATATTTTCAAAGTAAATAAACGAAATGAGTCTTTTAGTAAAGTTAGGTATGCCTCGTGAAAACAGCAATACTCTGAAGGATTTTGAGCCTGAGACATTGCCTATATATAATACTCTCAGTGCTGTTTTTGCCGAAGGGATTTTATTTAGTGTTTCGTTGTCGCTCTATTAAAAACTAGGGTATGTTTCGTTGGGGCGAATCCGAGAGACTCGTAAAATCCTATCTTTAGAAAGAAAAATAGAAGAAAAAAGAAAAATATTCTTGACCTATATTCGGTTGAGCCATCTCGCTACCGAAATATTCAGATATAAATAGATTTGGAAAGTAAATATAGTTCTATTAATAGAACTAGACTAAATCTTATGTTTGGTATTTTACTGGGGCCTTTTAATGGCCTCGTCCAAATATCTGACATGTAAAATGGAAAAGGTATTAATTAATAAAACCATTAAAAACCATTTAGGAAACTTAAGTTCTTTGTACTATTAAGAGAACATTTTTTAGTGTACGTACTTCTTAAGAGTACGTTTACAATATAGAGTCTAATGTGGAAGCCCGGCTATTACCAAGCACCCTCTTTTCATCCCCGATGTCATGGTTAAGCTGATGATGCTTCTAGGGGCGCTGCCGGCCCGCCGAGTATACGGGGCGAATGACCCTTTTAAGAGCGGGGTCATCACCCGGAAAGTTGACGCTATGTACCGAGTCGGCCATGGGAAACAGGGCGGCCCGATGAGCCTCTGGGTTGTCTCTTGTGTATTGGCACGAAATAACGCTCGGTTTGGTTCCCATAGAGGACAAGCATTTCCGGCTCACAGTGGACTACTCTATACATAATCCACATATGCACAACCTCTCAATCACATTGCCCGCGGAGGACGAAAATCATGCCCGCGGGGCCATCTTTATGACATGTATAGACCTCGCAGCTTCTTATCCCCAGCCTCTGATCGCCCGAGAGAGCCGTCACCTTATGACGTTCTACACGCCGGATGGCCGTTTCCACCAGCCGATCTGCCTTCTGGAGGGCTCCATGATCGATAGGGACCGACTCGGGAATTTCCTTATGGCTCCAGTTCCCAAGAACCGTACATAATTAGTCCTCCTCATGGCCATGATGTCTTGGTGGTCGGGCATGATACCACACTATGCTTGAACCCCTCACTCGACTCACAAAGAAGAGCGCGGCGTTCGCCTGGGGGACAGAGCAGCAGCTCGCATAGGACAAGGCTCTGTATTATTGTCCATGCGGATCCAGCTGTACAAGCCGCTTCCTCACCAGTGCTTGGTCATGTGCCCAGACGCATGCAAGACGGCAGTCGGTATGACCCTTTTCGTGCAAATCGACGGGGGCATTCCCCGCTATGTGATGGAGGAGATAGAGGATCCGCGCTTATCGGCGTGGGCATTGGAGGCCGCGAAATCCCGCAACTTTAACCAACCGGACCTCATCATGGGCCTTGAGGCCCTCGCCTTACAGCTCACTGCCTAAGTCGTTCTCTACGGCAATGCTATCGTCACTGTCACTTATTAATGCAGGTAAGTCAATGTAATCTATGTTTTTGTCGCTACTCTCATATTCGAGTAGAAAGGATTGGAGATTGCTGTAATCGGTTTCTGGCTCGACGTGGTCGTCAAAACAAGGTAACTCTCCGTGTTGTGGTTATGGTACTCGTGGCTGCTGTGTTGGATGCGGCATGATTATGGTAGTAGTTTCGTAAGGGATTCTCTTACCACTTGGAGATAGGTTGTACGCAGTGTAAGATTGCGTGATTGACTGTGTCAGAATTTATTGTGGGGCGAGCTCAGGTATAGGTCATGCACAGGGGACTGATGCTCAAGTACCATTTCGTGGTACCCTAAAGGAACCACAGAACTGTATGAATGCTTGGATGCAGATTATGTTAAGCTGATTTGGGTGGCATGTACTTTCTTTATTAGATTGGTTTTTTGTCAACTTGTTTGCCATTGGTAGCCATTTCACTGTGTTGTCAAACGGTACTAGCTTTACACCTATTTTTTTCCGTATTCGTGCACACGTATTTTACAGCTGGATTGAGAAAACGTGAACTTATATAGTTCTGTGTATATTGTATGTGTTGTACGTACCGTAGACGCTGCTGAAGTACGGGTTGTAG